ATTTTTTTGATCTTTAGTATGATTGATTTCACCATTTTTGAAGCTTTTTTTTTAAATTAGAGGGATCACAGAACCCTAGTTGATGTCAAGGGAACTGTATTTCTTGGAGTGAGGGCTCGAACATTTGGTTGATTCATGGGACTTGACGTTGAGTGATTCCAATAAATCTCTCTCTTTATATTTTCTTTTTTGTCATCACCTTACATCAAAAGTTTGTTTGACTGCTTACTATGTTTCACAATGCTCTTGATAACTCTTCCATGAACATCATTGGAAGTTATTCATCTTCTCATGTGTCAACAATTTTGTTCCCATTTGATGTTCTCCTCCTATGAAAAAGGAAGTTGTTTGATGCCAATGGATATGAAGTTGACAATATTACGTGAAAATAACTTTATATATATTGCATGGTTGATTTGATTAATTGCCTCATCACTCATAACTATTTTTGTCCATTAAATCCTTGTACCAGTTTGTTTGCTATTTTGATGCTTTATAGGTTTTGCATTAAGAAATTGTGTTTGGTTAGGTGTGAGCTGCTTTCCACATTTTTAGATCTTTATTATGTGATTAATGTAGAGGTTGACCTTAGTTTTGGGGTCTATATTATGATATGTAGGACATGGGTTTGCATCATAGAATTAGCTTATTTACATTTTTTTTGTAATGCATGGGTATGTCCGCAGACAAGAAGCTCTCTGTAGAACTTATATTGGCTACAATCTCATGCACTGTTGACTTTTTTTTTTTTTTAACATGTGAGTCTGAAGAAAGATTGAGTACTTGATTTTTTTCACGGTAATCCGTAATGCAAGTAGTAATTGCTTTAAGATTTTTCATACTTTTGCATGTGTATCTAATATACTATTTTAAGAAGTCTTTAAATATTTAAGTGTATGAGAAGACATTTCGTGAATAAGGTTATGAAGAATTACATCTTGACTCAGCGCAACTTAAGATCAAGATTGATTGCTGATTGATAATTTGTATCTTTATTTTAAGTTGGCTTTGCTTGAGGATTATTAAAGTTGCTTTCAATTGAATTAGGCTATGCTTATTTATTTCAGTTTGAGCAAAAAAGTAAATTGGTTTTTAATCTTCAACCCAATATGTTTTGTTGTAAGAATAATAATAATACATTTCTGCATCTTCACATATAATAATGTATGTATTTGGAACTATTTGGAACTAATTTTGAGTTGACTTGATTTAATCTCGGTTCAAGTCATGTGTGCTAGATTTGAGCTTAGTTTGGCTTGTTAATTCAAACTAAGACAAAGATTACTTCAATATTGGATAATTTTTTATTATGAGCCAATTTATCATACATACCCGTAATGCTGGTAGGGGAAAAAGTGTGCTTAAAGTTCGGATGTGCAGCATAATGGTAAGGTTGCACATTACTTTGCAAAGAAACAAGCTTGGACTGTAATAATTGAAGTGGCAAGCACTCGCTTCTTGTTGCTTTGCTGTGTGATTTGCTGATCTCGTCTAAGAACACTAGTTTAGTAATGTTCTAGAATTATATCTTGTGTACCTGTGTCCGTTATAATTTTTGCTCTTAATACTTGACTTATATCATAAATTATTTCATAATTTTAATTTTTATGATGATAATTAATAGGAAGATGCTATGCAATATTTGTTATAATATGTGCATTTCAATTAATTAAATTTTACCATTCGTTAGTGCTTTGCTCTACGAAGAGAAAAAAATTCTTTTGTGTTATCTTGCGCTCTTTGCATTTACAATCTTGCTCCTCATGAACAACAACAACAACAACAACAACAACGAGAATAGTTTTATGCAATAAATCTGTTACCTTTGAATTCCTTTCTTGCATTCTTACATGAGGTGCGCTACATTTGGTGTTGGCTTTATTTTATACTATTATTAATTTTGCATAGTTTTTTTTTTTATCAAGTGCTGTTATTTCTTTCTTAGTTTTTCCTGTTAATTCTATTTATTTGCCTCATCTGGTGCATCTTTTCCCTACTCTATATTGTGCATATCCAAGTCACCTAATCCAATGATTTCTCCATTATCTTCATGTGTTCACCCCCACCATCTTTAATATATTCAATTTTAGCTATATCCTTCTAGTGTTAGCATGTAACCCCCCCTTAACAATGGCTTTTACCACATTGAGCATGTATATTGCGACTTCTCTTTTATTTTTTGACATTTGAATTTGTATAGCATACATGGCTTAATTTCTTTTGTGCAGTTACTTATTGTTATGTAGAAAGTTTATTTATCTCATGGTTATTCTCTTTGTTGTTAAAGATGAGCCACGTGCTTGCTTAGATGCCTAAGTTAGGCAGTAGAGCCTTGCACACGTCCCATAGGGGTGCCATATGGAGTTGTTGTTTTAGGCTGAGTTTCTTAGGTGCACATTGATATCGAATTGCCCTGATTTTATTAGAGAGGTACAAATACCTTGAAACTTGAAACTCGGAGATGATTTTGTTTTAAATGATGAAAATTTGGCATTGGGTTCTGTGAAATTGTTGGGTATATGGATGCATAAGAGAAAATATGTTAGATTAAATCTAGGCTGTTACTAGTTTCATGTTTTAGAATAACTTTCTTAGTATGAAAAGGTTAAGTCCCAAGAGATTGATGAGGAGATGAGAAATTACAAATCTATAGTTGTAAAGCTTTTTCTCTAGGGCTTTATTTGGGATGGCTTTCTTTCTGCTTCTTAAATTTTTGTACTAAAAAGCTAATTTAAGAAGCAGTAAGAAAGACATCCCAAACGAAGCCTAAGTTATCCTGCTACAGCTGGTAGTTTAATTATTTAAGTTACTTGAATGAGTCTTTTACAGTCTTATTTAAGATAATCTTTTTTAATAGATTTTCATTGTTGGAATGCAATTCAACTTGTAGATTCACATTTTCTCTGGTAGGATAAGATGTTATGGTTCTCATTTTATACTCTTCAAAACTTTTCGTGTTATTGAAATAAATTTGGGAAGATGTGGTTACTTCCTCTTTAGTTTCCTGCTTAGGTGAGCGTACAAATTTGATTAGTGCGCAGTGTTAAGTAGGTTTATCGTCTTGAGGGTGCTTAATGCTTTTAACAAACATTGCAACACCTAAGATTTATATTCATTTTAATTAACCGTCTTTGACTCTAAAAATCATTTAATTCGATCATAGTTTTTTTTTTGTATAGTCAATACAAAATGATTGTTTATTACTTGACCTTTGAACAACATTAATTGATAGTTATGATTTTCATCTCCATTAAATTTTCATATTTGAAAATTTGTTATTTTTATATTAGTTATAAATCTTATGTCTTTCATTTTATAACTTTTCATTGATTTAAGAATGTCCATGTTAGTGTTATGAAAAGTTCATTCTAATAGCATAATGAAACAATGTGATAACCCACCCTTCGCATCGCTTGTCTACGAAGTGCAAGCTCATAGCAAAGTGTTTACGTTGCTGCTGTGTTGCTTTTTAGTGCTTCGCACTTAGCTCTGGCTCAGAGCAGAATTCTGGTTCAAATTTCATGCTTCAATTCAGCATTTATTGTAATAATTAGAGCACAAATATTCACTTCACATATGTTCTCATAGTTTTATGTCATTGTTTATTAGTTCTCTATTCTCATTGGAGCTTGTTGCTTCTTGGTGATCCTCCTTTTGATGCTCTCTTGCCCTTCGATTTTCATATACGTTTCTTGTTGATCCTTATTACTGTAACTAATTGCTTTATGTTCAAAAATTTGCTTTTCAAGAATGCTTCTTAGTGAATCCTTTGCACGCCTTTTGATGCATCACCTTCACATTCTATCTCGCTTTGTGTTGCCTCCAACTTTCGATTTTTAGCTAGTCTCTTAAGCTCACGAATCTTTTTTATTTTAATAATTCTTTCATCTCTTCACTCTATATTTTTAATTCTTTTTCTTTTGAGGCTTTTAGTAGTAGGAACTAGGAAATTAAAGTTTATTGAATGTATCATTATACAACAATAACAACAACAACCCTTTATCCCACTATGTGGTGTCGGCTACATGAATCTTTTTTTTCCATTGTATCCTGATAAGAATTAAATTCTTATCTAAATCTAATAAAAAAGTTCATTTCTAATATTTTCTAACCAAGTCTTTTTAGGTCTACCTCTACTTTTCTTAACATAAGTCAAATCTAATACATCTACTTTCCTAACTGGGTCATCAAAAGGCCGCCATTTTATGTGACCAAATCATCTAAGGCGACTCTCTCTAATCTTATCTTTCACTAGAGCTACTCCAACATTTTCACGTATATGCTCATTTTGTATCTTGTCTCTATGAGTAAAGCCACTCATTCATCTGAGCATCTTCATCTCTGCACACTTAACTTAATATTATGCTTCTCTTTTAATGGCCAACATTCTGCACCATAAAACATTGCAGGTCTCACTACCATCTTATAGAATTTCACCTTAAATTATAGGGGAACTTTTCTATCACACACCAGATTTAAAATTGAATGAAAGAAGTTTGAGGTGCCAAACATTTTTTTTAGAGGTGCCAAACATGTTTGTTGAAGCAATTGCAAGTGAGTTGATACACTATTTAAATTATAATTCTACTCACATTTTTATGGCATAAGTTCTTTAGCTCCAAACTTATTAGCTCCAAACTTATGGAGCATGCTCAAATTGAACTATATTCTAAGCTTTAGACAATGTGATATGAGTAACGTATAAAAAGTTTTTTTTTTTAATATTGGAATATTGTTGTTGTTGTGAAGCTACTTTTAGAGTATTTCACGCAATTAAGACAATTAAGGCAAATTCACGCACACATCCCATACTCAAGATTCGAACCCAAGCTCTCTTGATCGAGGTAAGCTGCGTAAAAGTAAGTTGAGGGATTAAATTGAACATTTGGAAAAAGTTTTAATTAAAATAAACATGTTTAAAAAGTTTAAGAACTATTTTGATCATTTATTCTTAATGGTCTATGCTTTACCCTAAGAAAATTCTTCCTGGTTTCATACAGGTGACAGATACCTGAAGCCATGGATTATCCCAGAACCAGAAGTCAGGATCATTTCTAGAACAAAGGATGATGAATGTCTCATCCTCGCCAGCGACGGCCTATGGGATGTTATGTCAAATGAAGAGGTCTGCGAAGCTGCTCGAAGGCGATTGCTTCTTTGGCACAAAAAGAATGTAGTTTCTGATCCTTCTCAGAGAGGATTTGGACTAGATCCAGCTTCACAAGCAGCTGCAGAATACCTCTCAAAGCTTGCCTTACAGAAAGGAAGCAAAGACAATATTACCATCATTGTTATTGACCTGAAATCTCAGCGGAAATTCAAGCCAAAAAACTTCAATGGGTGAGAGCTCTGAAACGAGAAAGGAGAATTTGTTCAGCCAAGAAGAAGTTTATAGTTTCTGTATCTTGATCATCGCCGCCGTCGTCGTCATCATCATCATCATATCTTGAACTTTGACCATACTTTGCCCATTTGTTTTTAGTCATTTGGGCTTTAGGGTGCTGTATTAAATATGTATTTTGTGCTTTAGGAATGTTGAAACTCTTCACATTATTTTCTTTTAAGCTGGTAGGTCAATGTGCTGGCATTGTAAATTTGAGCTCCATTTGGGCTTTTTAACTAGTTAGAGAGGATAAATATACCAAACTGCTTGCCTCTCTGCTAGATTGTATTCTGCTAAGGCCTCCGGGTTTAATGCCCTGTGAGGCATAATATATGTTTAATATCAATTTTAACTTTCATATTGACCTCTTAGGGAAAAATAATTTATGTTTTTGTTTATGAAATATGCGCCTGGATGGATTTATCTGGAGTTTTTTTGTTTTGGAAGCATCATATTTCTTTGGTTCTAAGATGATAGCATATATATTTTCTGAAAAGGAACAAAAGGAGAAATTGAGATTTATGTTTTGAGAAAAGCGTGGGCGCCTGTAGAACAGCAAAAACTGCTGAATATTCGCCTTGCTTATATATTGCCTCGTTGGTTAATCTCACGGTAGGAATTACTATAAGTACGGATATTGAGATATATAAGTGATATATCATCAAAATTTTATCTTGACCGGGCACGAATCTCGAGGCAAAATAAAGTTGAAAACTTCCAAAATTAAATTCGGAACACTGTGAACTTTGATTTCAGCAAATTTATAGTCGAATTGAATGTCTCGAAAAGACGAACCCAACGACATTAAATTTGACCCAATTCAAGCTCAAATTGGTCTAAATAGAAGACTTGAAGCACATTCAGAATGTTCAAATCATAAATTGGATGACCAAACAGCTTTCAAATGTAACATGATTATAATTGAATTGAGCGGCTCGACGAGACAAATTCAATAAGCCTAAGATCGCCAAATTTTGATATCATTAAGACATTCAAATGTCCAGTAAACAGTCCATTATCAAAGGAGTTAATATTGGTTGTCCATTCAAAACACTCCCAACCTATCTTTCATTTCCTCTCTATTTATTGGTCATATCATTATTAGAAATTTATAAATAGATCATTCATTCCTCATGGAAAGGGGGAGGAAGCAGGGGACCAAGGAAAGAAGGAAGTAGGGAGGACCAGAGAAGGGAGCAAGGTAGAGAATGAAAAGAGAGAAACTAGAGTTTTCTTATCATCAGACTCCTCAACCACTGTCGAACCACAGATCGTTGTATGACTGACGTTGGACTTCTGTATGGCCACCGACTGATGCTGGACTTCTGTTTGGCCACCGATTGACGTCAAACTTCTGCACGACCACCAATTGAACTCGGATTTTTGCCTGGCCACCGACTAACGCCGAACTTCAACCCGGCTATTGACAACGGTCTTTCTGACCCATCTACCACATCGACTACAATCCTTCTGACTTCCATCACCAAACAACGATCTTTTTACCACTGTCACGTGCTGAGTATAGTTATTCCGACTTCCGTCACCAAACAACGGTCTTTTTGACCATTGTCACACGTTAACTACGGTTCTTTCTACCTCTATGGCAGACAATGGTCTTTCTGACCACTGTTACCCGCTAACTACAATCCTTCTAACCTCCGTCATCAGACAACGGTTTTTTTGGCCACTATTACCCATCGACTACGATCTGTCTGACCTTCGTCGCCTGTCGATTAATCCTTCGGACCTTTATCACTAGACTATAGTCCTTCCAGCCTCCATTGCCTACTGACTATGGTCCTTTAGACCTCCATAGCCAAACAATGATCTTTCTGACTATTGTTGCCCGTCAACTAGGGTTATTCTGACCTCAATTGTCAAACTATGGTCCTCCCGACCTCCATCGCTAAACAACAATCTTTCTGACCACTATCACCCACCGACTACAGTCCTTCTAACCTCCATCATCAGACTACAGTCTTTCCGACCTCCATCGCCAGCCGACTATGATCATTATGACCTCCTTCGCTAGACTATGGTCTTTTTGACCTCCGTCGCCCACCGACTACGTTCCTTCCGATCTCCATCACCAGATAATGGTCTTTCTTACCACTAACCCGTTGATTACGGTCCTTCAAACATAAGTCGCCAAACTAATGTCCTCCCGACCTTCATTGCTAGACAACGGTCTTTCTTAACCATTATTACCCACCGATTATGATCCTTATGATCTCAATTGTCAGACAATAGTCTTTCTGACCTCCTCGCTCGTCGATTACGGTCCTTTTGACCTCCCCCGCCAGACAACGGTCTTTTTGACCACTACCACTGTAAAACCCCCTCCAAAGCTGATTTTTTTTGTGCAGTTAGTCCGTACGAACTGGCTTTAGTACGGGACGAACTGAAGAAAATTGTGAAGAATCTGTTAATTTTTCGTCTGTACGAACCTGGAAGCGTCGGGACGATCCGTTTGGACGAAATTTGTCCATAGAGCAAGTCGTCCGGACGCTATTTAATTTCGTCTGGACAAAATTCTACAGAGGGCAAATCGTCCCGGGATGAATTTTGGATCGTCCGGGACGATCAGTGTTAATAAAGGTAAGGAAAGAAAGGAAAAGCTTGGATTCATTTGAAGAGAGAGAAAGAGAATTCAGGAGTGAGAGAAAGGTAAGGAAAGAAAGGAAAAGCTTGGTTTCGGAGGTCGCGGAGCGATTTTCGTCCGTCGTCGTTGTTAGAAGATTTGTTCGTCTTGCAGTAAGGACTCCGAATCTTATTTCTGTTTTCGAAGATTTCGAGTTTTGGTATTTATGTGCTCAGATTTGTGTTTATGTTACCGAAAAACGCGCATAATTTTGTATTGACGAAAGTTTTATCGCACAACTTTTGATATGTTCCTGAGATGCTTATTCTGCACGATTTGAGTATTTTCTGTAAAGTTTCTACCGGTTATTTTGAGTTCTATACAATTTTTATCAAATAGAAAATTATCTGGTTGTTGAAAAATAGTGCTTCAGTACAAGTAAAGCTTTGTAATGTTGTTTTCTTCGATTCCTGGTAATTTGGTAAATTTCTGAATCTGTGATTTCTGTGTACATTCCGTGTACTGCCGTTATGCCGCCGATTTCTTGTACGACTTTTGATTTTTTGAATTGATGATTTAAATGATTGAATATGCATACGAATGTGGATATATGATTGAATTATTGTTATTGTTACTGAAAGACAAGTAAAGACTGGTTGAACCGTTGGTTGGAGATGATACCTGTACAGGATGGTGGGCCGACGGGCTTTCCTTTAAA